ATCCAGAATCTCTTTAATTTCTATTTTATCGAAAGTGTTGAAACAAATTTGGAAATTCTTCTTCGATAATTTGAAGGAATCATTTTTAAAAAAATCCTTAAATTTCCCTCGACCCTTTCAAAAATCTTACAGCATATTTTATTTTATTTATATTCATTGAACCTTTTAGAGAAAATTTATAATAATAAAAGTTAAGAATACAACCTGGAGAGGAGCTAAAAAATAACTTTATTCGAAATTTTGACCGGTTTTTGACTTTTTTTTTTTAAAAATCAATCTATCGAACCTAGACTCTTTACCTACAACGCAGAAATTCAGGATCAAGTAGATCATTTTGGAGAGGAAGAAAAGAAAAAAGAAAAATTGAGAAATCCAAGGGAAGATTTCCGTTTCGAGTGGAAGCGAGTTTAGGGTACGAAGTGATCGATGGCAGCAACGATTGGTATCAAGGGGCAATGCTATATACTCGAGGGACGTAATGCAGCAGCGCTTCGAGAAATTGCTAATCCCTCGCGATCCCCATTCCATCCTATACCCGCTTTTACGTCACACATTCGGTCGCACGCCAGAAATTCTCGAACGAATCGTTTTTCATATAATAATCGACAGATGTTTCAATGATCAAAAATTTTCGACGCCTCGTTCTAAGCAAAATCATAAAGAGAAGAAATCAATCTCGAGAATTTCTTAATTAAACGATTATCAAATTATTAATTTACACGATTCATCGAAACAGTCGTTTTCTATTACATATAAAACAACCTAGAATCCTTTAAATATAACTCTTCTAAGAGACTCTTCTAATTGCGATTAGACGAAACTTGAAAAATGATGAAAAAAGGGAACAGATATATATATATATATAGAGAGAGAGAGAGAGAGATAAAGAAATTTTTCGAAGAAGCATCCTCTCGAGGTTATTATTCCATGAAAAATATTTGGAACGTGGAAAATGTACCAAAGGAATATCACCGAGAGGGATGTTTCCTTTTACCAGGCTTTCACATCAAAAAACCCAACGAGTTTCTTCTTCACACTTGTAACAGTCACGGCTGGAATTGTCCGCTTTAAGAAGTGTCGTTGTCCATCTGGATCCCTGGGTCAGGGATCACGGTTCCACAGGATGTACAACCCGTGTACGTGACCCACGTACAAACCGAAACGATATTTCGTCTCTGCGCCCTCTTTTTAATATACCCTCTTCAACAGGAGAGAGATTAAGATTTGAGCATATACTTGGAATATTGTAGAAATTTTGAACAAGATAAAATGGAATCTTGAAGAGGAAGGAGTCTCTCGAACGAGACTCAAATATTCCACGAATATATTCTCCAATATCACCTCTCACCACCTGGAACGGTTAAAAGTCTCTGAAGAAACGAAACACAAATTTCTTCTTACCTCGTCTTTCAAGATTTTAATTCGTTTCACGGATTATCGAGGAAAGCTTGCAATTACATATTGCCAGATCTCATCATCTGGTATCCGTTTTCGATTGTTCTTCGTCACGTTCTTAGCCCCCCTCCCCTAGCAGCCAAAAAGCATCGGGTCATCTCGTGAAGGAGGAGGAGGAGGAGGAGGATGCCGCGATATTGGGCACATTTGGCGTCTGTCGCGCACGCACGTTGCTCCCCGCCACCCAAGGCGAGCGAGGGTATTGTGTACACCACCCCCCTCCGGGTGTATTTGCATTTAAAGGCATAAACAGTCCTGAAACGGGCGCAGGGCACAATGGGAGGACGTCTCGGAGCCGCCGGTGGCCGCCAGAAGACGCCGTCCCCCGCTGGGCCACCTTATTCTCCTCCTCTCTCCGAACATGGAGGAAAGGTTTCTATACTAATTTCACGATATATAGGCGCCAATTGTCGGCTCTTCTCGTCTTCGGCTACGAGAAAAGAAAAGTCCTTGTTTAAGAGTACCCTCGTTGAGAGAGAAGGGAAGCTTATTTAGGTTACTTGTCATGGATTTGGAGAATTGTATTTCCTTTTTGAGAAGTCGGGGAAGAAACGATGAATAAATATACTGATAAACGGGTGAATTTAATTTTCTTTCGTTACCATTAAAGTCGCTCTATATAAAGTGCCATTGATGTACTATAGTCTCTGCCATGTATTGTACATATAACGAGCGATTGGATTATTGTGCATCGACCATCTTTCTCTGGAAATTAGTATTTTCGTTTTATCGTTTGTGATTTCTCACATAGATTCCTCGATAATAAAAATCACCAAAAAAAAGAATGCCAATTAGGAAGAAAAAAATCAAATTAAATCAAGTGAATTTTAGTGAATAATTCTCTGCAAGTCAGTATTTTCGTTTTATCGTTTGTGATTTCTCACATAGATTCCTCGATAATAAAAATCACCAAAAAAAAGAATGCCAATTAGGAAGAAAAAAATCGAATTAAATTAAGTGAATTTTAGTGAATAATTCTCTGGAATTCTCAGTATTTTCGTTTTATCGTTTGTGATTTCTCACGTAGATTCCTCGATAATAAAAAAAAAAAAAAAAAAAAAAAAAATGCCAATTACACGCCTTCCTGTTACAATCGATCTCAAGTGTGGAAGAAAAAAATCAAATCGACTTGAACAATAAATTTCAGTGAACAGTTTACGTATCCACGTTTAAAAATTATTTTAAACTTATTTTTTCACTTGTATCATTTCAACTATAGCTAGATTCTTGCAGAAGATACCTTATACCTTATACCTATCTCTATTTCCCCGTTAGTTTGGGTTATGGAAAATTGGAAAAACAAACAACTAGGAGATCGGAAATCGAGTCGTTGGCCGGACCTCGTAATTTTAGGTAGCTCAAGGGGCTATTGGGCCTGTGACGAGACCACCCTGTCAGTTGGAAAATAGGGTTAGTTTCCTATTTTCGAAGAGGCGATCCTTTTTGTGAAAGCAAGGCGATTATCGTTCGCTTTTTGCGAATCTTTATGTTTATCTTGGAAAATAATCTCGAGTTTCTTTCTTTCTTTCTTTAAAGATCGAAAAGTTCCTCCATGTTAATTCTTCTGCGTTTGAAAAATTGTTTTAAAAATTGAAAAAACTGTCGCTTCTCTTTTAAAATTTATATTCAAAAATGGAGAATATAGCTCGAATCAAAAATCTAAATAAAAGAGAGTTAGTTAAAAGTCTTCGAGAGATAAACAAGAGACGAAATAAAAATCGTTTTCCATCCAAGAGGTGTATCGAATAACGAGCAGGATATTTGGCGGCCATTTTCTCCCTTGGCGGAAAATTGGTTGGATAAACATTCTAACAAGCCTCTCTCGAGACGATCCAGGTGATCGTTGTCCGGATAAACCGTCTGGGGGCGGCTGCGCAAACAATTCACGTGGACTTGAAAGCAGGTCAAAATTCTGGATTCAAGATTTAAGGAGGCTGCAATGGCTTGTATAAAATGTTAAACTCGATTGTATCAGAGATGTCCTCGAGAAGTGGACTCTATTGTTATTTGCCAACCAATAATAATGGAATAACATCGCGAAAACGATAGCCACGTGGATCAAGGAGGGAGGAAGCTTCTTGGAATCCTTTGCCGTGTTTTCTTCGTTTAAAATGTTTTTCCAAGGTGGAGGGGAAAAAAGGGAAACGTGTTGCGTTGCGAGATGATGTTTTTTTTTCTTCTTCTTCCTCTTCTTCTTTTCTTTTCGTATCGTAATGGAGTTCTCTCACAAGGAAATTAGTCATGGTTCCTTTTTTTCCAATGGAAAAATACATATATTCTTTTCTTAAACAGAAATTAAGAAGGAAGAATCGATCTTTTTTTTACGATACATTGTTGGATTTTAGAATTTTAAAAAAATCTTTAAAAAATCGTACAAATAAATATTCTCAAAACAAATAATTAATAATAATAATTCACACTGGAAACTCACATTGGATCCAATTAACTACTACTTGTACTCCAAAACACTTTGAAAACACATTCTTACTCTTTGTTGCTCGAAAAAATGATTCTTGCAAAATTATGCGAACAGAAGAGCCTTCATCCTTCAAACGATAACAAATCGGTTCCAGGAACGGGGATCACCTCGAGGAAAGGATACTCGTTGCCTGCGTCCAACAATGGCGCACGCCAATTAAAAGAACATTAGGCCCGTGATCCGTGAACGTTCTTCCTCGAGGAAGTCGAAAAAAAAAAAAAAAAAAAAAGAAAAAAAGAAATCGAAAGGATAGGCTAAGAATCATAACCGTTCCTCCATTAAAGGGCCGACCACATGTCGTGGGAGTCTCCTCTAAACCCGTTTATACCCGCGAACCTTTGGAAAATCACCGGTGATTCGGTGTTTAGCCGAGTCGTAAACAAAACAAGCCGACCACGGGTTCTCGAGAAGTTGGCTAACTGGTCGCAGATGTCGAAGGCCGCTTTCCGTATGTCGCAAGGATCAGAAATTTTCGTGCTCTCGAAACGTTACAAGTTGTAGGCAATTATTTCTTTTATTATTTGTTCTTCTTTATTATTCGTTTCTTGCTATAAATAATTTAAAACGAAGTTGCAGAGTTTAGGATTAAATTTTTCTTGAAACGTTGAATTTCATTTAAACAACGATTAAAAAGAGGCGGGGAAAAATGTATTCGAAAAATGTATCGATCCTGACACGTCCTATCTATAATATATATTGGGTAAAGCGAAGAAGGTATCGAGTTTTATTCGCCGTTCGAGCGTGAAAATGTTAAACGAGCCGGAGAAAACTTCTCATATAATATTCTTCTTCTCATTGAATGTTAATAAGTTGCGCCAAATTTTTTTTTCTTCACTCTCTCTCTCTCTCTCTCTCTTCTTAAATTTCCAACAACTTTCCTATACTACTTTCAAGATAAAAAAAAAAAAAAATTGTTTCACAATTGGTTAAATCGATATCTCATCGAACGAATATTAAAAAAATGTATTATATATATATATATATATATTTAGATGCGTGTGAAAGATTAAAAGGAACGTTTATATCGAATAGACGGAGGAAAAAGAATCCTTGAAATTTTACTTACACGACGTCTCGTCCGTGTCTGTATTAGTGGAGCGCATCAGTGTGCATCGTATGTTAAAATCGTGTGTACGTACCTGGAACAAAGAGGGAAAAGAAAAAATTCTGTTAGATACACGCTTAATTTTCTATATGTTAAGACCATGTATCCATCAGCAAAATGGTTAACAATGGATCGTTATTTTCTCTTTCGAAACATGGGAAATTATGTTACACTCCGATTTATTATTATAATGCGGTTTAATCCGTTATTACGATTGGCACGGTTTAACAAGTTCGAAGATGGATGAATATTTCATACAGCAAATTTCTGCCGGCCTCTGTGATTCCATTTGTTTATAATTCGAATTGTCAAATCGTTAATATGCCCCCCTCCTCCCCTTTCGATAGTGGCCGTTCAACAACTATATATATATATATATATATATATATATATATACCTGGTGCGGCATAAATTACGATATTGTTAATTTTAGTAATAACATAAAAGCTTGTACGACACGCGCAATATCATCGTATTATTAATCGCATAATTTCAAGCAATTATTAATTAAATTGTTATCGTTACCGATTACACCAGAATCTATATCTTTTTTTTTTTTTTTTTCAAACTTGTGAAAAACTGGGGCACATATGTATTAGTCGATCGATGAAAAGATGATTCATCCATTCAATCTTAATAATTCTTTTGCCGAGATATAAATTTTAAATCCAAAAGTTTAGGCAAAGCTTCCTCCTCCTCTACCCAATTTCTTCATCATCGACTACTCTTCATCATCTAAAAAGAAACGGTTGTTAAGCTTAAGTGTATTTAAGAGGCAATGCGTGTTCAGCGGGAGAAACTTTAAACTTTCCCCCTTCCCCCCCCTCTCTCTCTCGAATCGATGACTATCCCTCCGCCCTGTCACCATCAATCTTTGGGGTTGGCGAGGGTGGCACAGGTTGCCACGATCCCAACCCACTTCGACGGGGGTTCAAGGTGTCCGGTGACTCTGACTCACGTGTTCGAGTCGACTCGGATTAGAACGCAACCCTTTCGGAGACGTCGACGAAGTAAATCCGGACGAACGTTTGGAAAAAGGGGGTTGTAGTTTCTTCTTCTTCTTCTCCTTCTTCTTCTTATTCTGGAGGAATTGAAAAAGAGGTGCAAACATTAAGGAAGTGTTCGAGGAAAATATGGATAAGAAGTGTTTTTGGAGATAATGAATTTTAAAGAGGGGTGTATTTTGAATTTACAACCCTCTCTCTTCTCTTCCTCTCTTTCTGTAGAGAAATATATTATTTTCGTACGAGTGTCTTTGAAAAGCCGACAAATTTTGAATCGAAAGAGAAGAAATACGATTCAAAAATTTTCAATCTTTTGAGAAAGAGGTGCAAACATTAAGAAAGTGTTGGAGGAAAATATGGATAAGAAGTGTTTTTGGAGATAATGAATTTTAAAAAGGGGTGTATATTTTGAGTTTACAACCCTCTCTCTTCCTCTCTTTCTGTAGAGAAATATATTATTTTCGTACGAGTTGAAAAGCCGACAAATTTTGAATCGAAAGAGAAGAAATACGATTCAAAAATTTTCAATCTTTTGAGAAAGAGGTGCAAACATTAAGGTTAAGGAAGTGTTCGAGGAAAATATGGATAAGAAGTTTTTGGAGATAATGAATTTTAAAAAGGGGTGTATTTTGAATTTACAACCCTCTCTCTTCTCTTCCTCTCTTTCTGTAGAGAAATATATTATTTTCGTACTCTTTGAAAAACCGACAAGTTTTGGAAGGGAAGTACGATTCAAAAATTTTCAATATCGGATATCTTGTCGAACATGGCCTCCGCGGTTCCTTTGTCTTTTCTCGCAGCGTCCAAAGACGATGCAGCTGCGAACGAGCTGTTGGAAGGCATCTCGAGGGCCGATGCGGCAGGTGACCACGGCCACGTACATAACTTATCCCCCTTAAAGTGGTTCCCGTTGGCAGCGTTGCTCCTCCAGGATGCCTAAAGGATGCAGGCCGTGGCTACGTAAATCAAAATTACTTCCTCGGTTAATTGGCTTTCGAGGCAACCTGAGATCTTCGTTGTTGTTGTTGTTGTTGTTGTTGTTGTTGTTCTCCGATACGAGGACCACAGGTTGAAAGAATGGATGGAGAAGCATGCTCCTCTCACCATCATGCATATATACAAATATGTATAAAAATTGATAAAAGTTAGAGGAAAAGTTAGGAGAAGAAAGAATGAGAAGATTAGATAATTATCCTATATATAATTATCTTATATATTATATTATATATTAAAGAATGGAGATAGACATTAGCCTAATCTCCTCATATATATAATATCTTTTGTTAGAATTTAAGTTTCGTCCAAAATTTTTAATATACAATAATATAATATAATAATAATATACATATACACAAATATGTATAAAAATTGATAAAATCGAGTTAGAGGAAAAGTTAGAGCCTGATCTCCTCATACATATAATATCTTTTGTTAGAACTTAAGTTTCGTTCAGAATTTTTAATATACAATAAATAATTTAAATTTCGAAACGATTCGACGAAGGAAGTAACGTTGGACACTCGTTCAAAGGTGTTTCCTTTCCTCGAGCGAGTCACGATCGTATTATTCGCAGCAGCAACAACAAGAACCGCGCGATTGTTCGTGGGGAGTATTTAATAAAAAGTATTATTTTCTCATGGATCGGATACGTCGAGAGGGGGATCGATCCTCCCACGAATGACTCGACCCTCGAGGCGAAGGCCATTACCAACAGGTAGAATAGACGGGTATCCCCCGACGGAATTATCATGATCGCAGCTAAGAAGCTTCGCCTCTATAACACCGTAATCTGTAAGACTTCGCGATGACTCACGATAATTGCAGGTTGAAATTGCGTGGATAGAAGGTCGAGCGTTCCGGCCAAATTGGCCGTAGGGATTACGGTTTCCCCCGATTTTTGACACTCACACTTTTTAAAGAGTGATTCACAATTATTTTCGGAATTTCAAATTGATATGAAGAATGAAGATAGAATGATTTTTGATACTCATACTTTTCAAAGAATGATTCACAATTATTTGGAGAATTTTGATATGAAGAATGGAGATAGGATGATTTTTGATACTCACACTTTTTAAAGAGTGATTCATAATTATTTGAGGAATTTCAAATTTTGATATGAAGAATGGAGATAGGATGATTTTTGACACTCACACTTTTTAAATGATTCACAATTATTTGGAGAATTTTAAATGTTGATAATATGTATGAAGAATGAAGATAGAATGATTTTTGACATTCATAATTTTTAAAAAATGATTCACAATTATTTTGGGAATTTCAAATGCTGATATAAAGAATAGAGATAGAATGATTTTTGACACTCACATTTTTCAAAGAGAGATTCATAATTATTTGAGGAATTTCAAATTTTGATATGAAGAATGGAGATAGGATGATTTTTGACACTCACACTTTTTAAATGATTCACAATTATTTGGAGAATTTTAAATGTTGATAATATGTATGAAGAATGAAGATAGAATGATTTTTGACATTCATACTTTTTAAAAAATGATTCACAATTATTTTGGGAATTTCAAATACTGATATAAAGAATAGAGATAGAATGATTTTTGACACTCACATTTTTCAAAGAGTGATTTACAATTATTTGGGGAATTTTAAATGTTGATAATATGTATGAAGAATGAAGATAGAATGATTTTTGACATTCATACTTTTCAAAGAATAATTCACAATTATTTGAGGAATTTCAAATTTTGATATGAAGAATAGAGATAGAATGATTTTTGACACTCACGTTTTTCAAAGAGTGATTCACAATTATTTGGAGAATTTTTATATGAAGAATGAAGATAGAATGATTTTTGACACTCACATTTTTCAAAGAGAGATTCACAATTATTTGAGGAATTTCAAATTTTGATATGAAGAATGGAGATAGAATGATTTTTGATATTCACAATTTTCAAAGAATGATTCACAATTATTTGGAGAATTTTGATATGAAGAATAGAGATAGAATGATTTTTGACACTCACGTTTTTCAAAGAGTGATTCACAATTATTTGGAGAATTTTGATATGAAGAATGAAGATAGAATGATTTTTGACATTCATACTTTTCAAAGAATAATTCAAAATTATTTGAGGAATTTCAAATTTTGATATGAAGAATGGAGATAGAATGATTTTTGATACTCACAATTTTCAAAGAATGATTCACAATTATTTGGAGAATTTGTATGACAGGATGATTTTTGACACTCATACTTTTGCTTTACTCAAAAAATGATTCACAATTATTTAGAGAATTTCAAATTTTGATATGAAGAATGGAGATAGGATGATTTTTAACACTTACACATTTTCCAAAGAGTGATTCACAATTATTTAAAAAATTTCTATAAGATAGGATAATTTTCGACACTCGGTTCAGTCAAAATGTTGAATGCTCACGATTCAGAGGAATACTCAGTATAAATAATAGAAAGATTGTAATTTATCTGAATGCAAAACAAAAAGAAACAACATATATCCCTATTGCTAAAAATTGAGCAATTCTAAACAAACCATTCCTAATTTCAATTCAATTTCAACCAAACCCAAAAGATCAAAGATCTCAACCCCATCACCCCCTTCTCCCTTACCTCTCAAAATCTCGCTTCTTCTTCGAAAATATTTCCCACCCACGTCGAAACGTACATCCGGATCCGAGAACGAGCTGCTTTTTAAAGTCGTCCGCTCGCAACGGCGGCGGCACGATTAATGGAAATTCGCGTCCGGCCCGGAGGAAATAGGCGATAGACGTGTATGAGAAAGACCCGGGGGCCAGCCTCTGATTGATAAAGGCAGCATTTAACCCTTAACTGCGGTATTCCACGCCGTAACGATGATATACGACGTGGCGGGATCACGCCCTGACCTTGATGCCTGCCTCAACGGGGGAGGATAAACGGGGTGGGGGGGTTTACGTTTCTCATCAACACATTCTCTCGCTCGTTCGACGTCGATCGCTCCTCTCCGCTCCAAGAGAGGCTGGTATCGTTTAACAGTCGATTGTTTGT